CTCGAGTTTCTTACAAAGGTTTTTATATAAATTATCTGCATGTCGTATCCTTTGCACCATTCAAGTCTGGCGATTTTTTGTAATGTGTCAGGGAATTATGAACAACCCGGTATATTTTCAGTTTCGTTCCTCCGTATAAGATTTCTTCAGAATCCGAGAGCGTTACTGCTCAAGACACGGACGGACATGCATCGCCTCCCAATAAGGCGTTTTGCGCTGTGAACGCCTCAGAAAGTGTAGCGTTCAATTATGCATTCATATTTGCTGAAACTGAACAATTTCTCTTGTAACCTGCATAGCTTCGCGTTTTCGTGGTTCTCAGGTTATTTACAGGGATGTTTAAGTTATTGGGACAAAGCAAGTTGTTCGGTCCCACTTCAGAATTGCATCTCCGAGGCTTCTGAGACGCCGACAGTCTTTTAATGTCTTGTGATTTTATTCAGTCCCTCCAGACGAATGCCGAACTATAGATCATGCACGCTTTCTCCGAACCATTCAAGTTCACATCTCATATTAGCAACGCTAAATAGGAACTGTTATCGATTCAGCAGAATGTGAGTGACGACAGGAAGGATAAGCCTGTTTTGAAGCAGACCGAAGCGACCGTCCAAATGGTCTATTTTCCTTAATTTTTATTTAAATTGTGTTCCTTTCATACATGCTACATGTCCCGCCGTTCTCGCCCTAATTGTACTAGCTATGAAGTACAAACAGTGCTGTTTATATTTTGTGTTACGATCTCCAAGTGCTTGAGGGAATGTTTTCCGCTGCAGCCCTTGGCAGTGCACACGAGCCTTTGAGCCCTCGAGCTCTTGTTCAGCGCGTGTCCGCACACTTCCGCATTGTGTCTGCGCTCGGCGCTTTCCCCGAACAGAAACTGTATCGGCTCGATTAATTCTTCCTCCGGTTTTTGTGCGAGCGATCAGCTGCATTCCTCGCCCAGTGAAAGTTGATCAGCTTCACATACGATTCGGGCGCAAGCAGCCACTCCCTGGCTTGGGAGGGGGCGATGTTGCTTGGTTAACACCGGAACATTATCGTCACTCCTTGTGTCTTGTGCAGCTTTCTTCATATTATATTCAGTGGCTACACTTCCATGATTCTGTCCCTGCAGTCTCGTCTGTCATGACGGTTGCTCCACGTGCCGTTGATGTATGAGCGGCTTTGTATCCCGAGGGGCGAGACGGTTCGGCCATGGTTTATTTAAGTGAGGGGTGTGTAAGGGGCCAACCTTCGTTCACATTGTAGCCTACACTGCGTCGTCACAAGCGTTCTGAAATTTGTCTAGGAAATTAAATTATCAAGGATTTAATTTAAGATAATTTTACATGTTGAAGTCAACTTGGTTGACATCAGCTCAAGAAGGGTAGAGAAGGGAACTGGGGAGAAGAAATAAAAATAATGAGATGAAATAAGAAAAGGAGGAAGAGACAAACGAAGAATATGACGAGAGTGGTATGACGTAAGGGAATGCGGAATAAGAATAACGAGAGGATATAATAAGAAGGCGGGTGGAAGAAGAAAATGGGGAAGAATAACTCAAAGGGGCAATGTCCTTGAGTGGCCAAGAGTCCCGTAGCTGTTTAAGAAATTCCCCGCCTTTCACGGAACGCTAATGTTCATTACCCTGTCCACAATGCCACTGAAATTTTTAACAAACCTACAGAATACTGGGGTCTACTTAATCTTATTTTTCAGAAATATTTTCATTGCCAAAGGTCGTATATTTGTGGTCTTTTATCTCCTGCATTAGTTTGATATGTTATAATTGTAAAAGTACAAATGATTAAATACAGGAATATCAATTTTTTTTATTCCTTCCATGTAATCATGAAATAGGTGCGTAATTAGGCTTTGAATAGTGCAGTCTTTGGAACTCTCGTTTCTCTTCACTGGAATAATTTCGGTCCCCGAGACCGCACTTTAAAATTTATGGGAGAGCGCAGCATATGAATATCATCGGCCCGGTCTGACACATTTGTCATACAGCTAAGCAGGGGGGCCGAAATGCAAGTGAAAGTGCTGCTGGCCTGGCGTGTAGACTGGCCCGCCGAGCACTCGTGTCGGATAAGTTGCTGCCTGACTCGGCGCTCTGCTGATTTTGCCAGTGCGTGTGGATTGCAATCGGAGGTTGATTGATTTAGTTATCGCGTGGAAGCTGTTGATAGTCTCGCAATTCGTATACAGTGTCATATACCCCGTATTTCGATTAAATGGGAACAATTTATCGTCGTCGTGTGTGCTGCAGAAAGCACGAGGTTGTGCGGACGCATGAAGGAAGATTTTATTTCCTAGTGTTCGTATAGAATTACAATGGAGTTTAATGTAAAATATCTCCGTTAATTATCTGTTTAGTTTTGATGTTGACCACTGCTGTGGAGGAAATGATACTACGAACACTTTAATTTGAAGTTAATTAAGTTATTCAGATTTGGTTTCACGAGTTGGACAGATTAATAAAGCAGCCATGTTTAAGTAACGGTTCTCCGTTAGTATATGGCTTACCACTTAATACATTTGGTGCTGGGGGTAAAAAGTGAGCGTTTCTGGGCAAGTGTTTTCAGTTATCTGCAACTTCTTTATATGAGGAATGCACACATCGGGTCTAATGCAAAATATAAATTTTATTAAGAAATGTACCTTGTTTTAGAGTTGCGTTTGTGTTATCCAAGTATTCAGAGAACATATTCAAGCTCCTCTGTCTTGTGCCGTCTCACAGACTGTGTAGTAAATGTACTTCTCGCTTTGGTTTTCCCATTTTCATAGGTCCCCATCCTCGTACTGCAAAACACTCCGCTGAATGTCACGGAAATTCTGGAATATTTTGTTAAAGCAGGCCACGACTACGTCCTTCAACATTGATCATAATTCTGTCACAAGCCATCTTATCGTTCGAGGTACAACAGAGAAGCTACTGCTGTTAAATGAACAAAGAATCGATTGATAATAACGTTCTCATTCCTTGAATCGGTATGTAATTTTTTCCTGCCCATCCACTTGTCGTTTCATACTGCCTCCGCAGTTTGTTTGCCGTTTTCCATCTTCTTCTGTCAGGTTGTGAGGAGCGGCATGCAAGGTGGAAGGACTGATGTAAACAACGATAAACGTGTCTGATAGCCAGTTTCTGGGATGGAATTTGAATCCCTGACATCCAGGAAACGAAGCAGGAGTGTTAAGCGCTCGGCTGAAACTTCCGGTATCTAGAACGTAATGACTCCTTACGTCTGTGTGTGTGCGTGCTTGCGCGCCCTGTGGTGGGCCACGACCAGTGCGTTCCATCTTCATTAATTATCCTCTCATTCGAGCTGCATAGTCTGCGATCCTGACAGAGTCGTTAAATAAATTACAAATGTGTGTGTGTGTGTGTGTCGAAGTTGCCATTGTTACACTTTCACTGAGAAGAGGAAAGTCGGTTTCAGTGCCAAGGTCTCTCTCTCTCTCGACCTACAGGCGCTGTTCTAACTAGAAAGCTTGCTAGCACGGTAGCTCACGAAGTAGAGCTCGTACATCACCGACTCTTGCCCTTCCGGTCCGCTCGGAGAGGTATTCGCGGTTTTCATAGTTCCTTCCAGGCCATGGAGCCTTAAATTAGGCCACGACCTCTGGTGGGGATACGGGATACGGCTTCTGATGCTTTAATTTGAAAACCATCTCCGCTTGGCGCGTAATTTTCACAAACGTGGTTCTGAGTACCGAGTCATAATGCAACCAACACGTCTGTTGACGGGCAGGCCAAACAATTTGTTTCTGATTGGTGGTGTAACGCGATTTCAGCTGTTTTGGATTATGCAGAGTTGGATGGTTGAATGATTGTGGACGATGAGTAGGGATGGAAATGGGAAGAATGTCGTGGTTTCTTGTAGGTTACTACATCAGCCTGGAAGGACTGAGAAATACCACGAGAAACATAACAAAGGATAGCTGTGGGTAATACAGTATTTGTGAAGGATTTGTCTCTTTATCTGATCACGAGTCGGCTGTAGTTGAAGGTGACTGACCAGCTTCATGCTCAGACCGACTGTACCTCGATCTCTTTTGTTAAGAGGCCCAAGTGGTGGCAACGAACGGAATCCTTGAGAAGCTGACAGTCGCGTGGATAGGCAGTCTAGAAGGTTCATTATGACTACACATTGAGTTAATTTCCTATTCAAGAGGAGCGGACGTCACGCCTTTGTACGGTGCCATGTAGTTACTACTTGACTAAGCAGAAGGATGAAAGTGGGTTGACTTGCTTCAAAACAATTGAACGTAGGAATAAAGCGTAAATGGCGAGACGTGTTCGTGTCTCAAAAATCTATTAACACAAGAAGCTCGTGTGCCGTAACATGCGCGACAAACCGTATCAGTGAAATTTGCTGTTTGGAATGGAAGCATGTGTAGGCTTCAAGCAGGACAGGAGTGTCAGATAAGTTGCCGCACTGAGTCTCTCAGGCGTGCATGTGCTGGTCGACTGTTCCAGCTGTCAAGAACGTAGTTAAATAAATGAGGAATCTGTTAGAAAAGTCATAATGTTTGCTTGCTTAATTCGGTTATGTTGCAGTGTTCTATCTACTGTTAATGATAATGACATTGTGTGTACCGAATCTGAAGGAAACTTTAGGTTTTAGGGCACTGTGTTGTCTTAAGGGACTGAGGAAACACACGAACGTCTGCAATAACGACAGGCGGTCCCTGGTCAATATTAGTTCCTCTCGGACGCCACTAAGACTTTGCCTTTCCGCTCATAACACGGTCGCGCATTTTGTATCCAAATTTGTATGAAGTCCACTAATTAAATTGTGGCGACCGTTGTCTTGACAACAGTACTTTGTATGGAGCGATTTAAACAGTGCTACTATCATTGAACTTGTTGAATTTGAAGTAGTTTCACCAATATCCTCAAACAGTGATGCGCAGAGAATGCCAAGTAACGAGCAGCGTCAGACCGGCTGCATGTCGGACAGTGATTACGGGATTGGGTCGCGGTCCACCAGTTCTACGCTAGTATAGTTTTTATACGATTCAATGTAAACATAATATTTGGTTGTTTATTTACAGACCATTTTAATAGAAAACAAATTAATGAAAGTTTTGTTACCAGTCCGATGTCATGGCTACTGAGTGATCAACAGTACATAAATGTCCATCCAAGTTTTGACCAGCCAACAAAGCACAAAATTCAAGTTGTGGACGTATCACATATAGGACAAAGTGAAAGAAGATTTGAAGAAACTTTTGTGTGTGGAGGTGCAGATTGTGTGTTGGTTACAGTCGGATCGTCTCCCGGTCAAGACTCCCAACAGGAGGCTGGCTTTAATTATTGACAGTTCAGTTAAGCAATGCAAATTCCAGAATAGTAACTTAAAATAGGCTAGTATTCTTTTTCCTACGTCCTTCCCAGTTCAGAGTTCACAGACGTCCTCTCATAACACATTTCAGTCTGCGAGTCTGATGCAGATCCTGTTTACGCCAGACAGTCCTTTGCATAAGTAAGATCAGACAGGACCCAGGCGAAGTACAGGATACGGCGAGTATGTTCGACCATTCAGGTACCCTCGATATCTGTTTAGACTGTATTTAACTCTCAGTTTCAGTGAAAACGGAATGCGCTAGAAAAACCATAATTAGGACGAGGTAAAACAACTTTCTGCAGTGCCAACTGAACTGTTTTTAGCCTGGGGCTACCACTGGGACCCGCGTCGCCACTCGCCTTCCAGATACTTGTGAGTCGAAACAGCAGAAGTTTCGTGTTACTTCGGTGCTCGAGATGTGAAATGGGCACATGTAACTCAGATTTCCGCTGTGTCTCAGTAGTTGGGGTTTGTAACGCGGTTTGAAAGTTCTGGTTCCGGCGGGTTTCTTGTGTTTGAACACAAACCAACATGGCGTTTAAAACGGTATTTAGCCACTGAAATGTGGCCCGTTCTTTCATGCAAAGGATTTGGCTTCTAGCAAAACGTAAGTACTTAAATTTTTGTTGTCCTGAACCTTAAATCTGCAGAGGAAGTGTTTAAGTAGGCATTTATCCCATAAGCCGGGCGAAGAGCACCCGGCTGACACTACTTTTCTGTACGAACAATAGCTTTCTTGTTATCTCCTGACCTCTTCCGTCTAATGATTGGTTACGTTCATGACACAAGGATAGGATACGCCCAGGCGCGTTGCTTCTTTCACATTCCACGGGACCGGAGAAATGTGTCAGCTTTGGTATCTCCTCATATTCATAAATAAACACAATAAACAAAGCCCGCGCTAGCTTAGGACGTCTCTGCTGGATCTGACTGGAAAGAATGCCTCGATGGGCAGGATGGGGTCCTCAGTCGCCATGGTGATCCTCAGGTTGGAGTTGGAGTGCTTGCTGAAGTAGCCGCCAGAATTGGCTGCGGATGTGAGGTCAGCTACAATCTGCGAGGGGGAAATTGTGTCCTGCTCAGATGAGGGCGGATTGGTGGCCAGCGGCTCAGCCTCGTCGGCTGTGGTCGTGGTGTCCACCTTCTCGGACATCACGGGAAGAATCTTGTCCTCCGTGGCCTCGTCATTCGCGATATCCTTGCTGACCTCCGTGACTATGGAAACTGGCTTGCTGTCACTGACGGCAGAGTCCTCTGCCGGTTGCACCTGCTCCGTACTGGTGGTGGTGCTGCTGCTGGTGGTCACGCGTGGCGGCCGTGTCCGTAGCGGGAAAGGCTTTCTGGTCACCGAAAACGCGGATTTGGCCACCGTGCGAGGCGTTGTGGAAGAGGCACTGGTGTGGGCGTCGCCCGCCGACTCGGTAGTCCTGGTTCGATACCCGCTGTAATGTTTGCTAGCCCCGGGTCGGTAGCGGCTGCTGATCGGTTTGAAGTGGTTCACTCGCTCTGCGGACGTGCTGGGTACTGTGGTCACACTTGTCTCCGTGCTGGTGGTTGTGGAGGAGCGAAGTCGCCCTTGCTGCGATTCCCTCTGCCGCACTCGGCCCCTGTCCGGCTCCTCGTCCTCTTGCGTGCTGCTTCCTCTGGAGCGGTTCCGCCCCCGACTCGTTTCGCTCTCTTCCGGCTTCGTCTCGGACTCTAGATTCTTCGTCATCGCCGACAAACGTTCCAAGCGCTCCTTGTGGCCTCTGAGGCTGAACCTCGGGCGCGTCGTGTTGGTCGGGAAACGAAGCCTGGATCTCGCGGTGGTAGTAGATGGCGGTTTGGTGGTGGAGGTGGTGGTGGTGGTGGGCGTTGTCGTCGTTGTGCTGGTAACAGTGGTCTGAGAGCCCGACTTGGTAGAAATGAAGTCTTCGTCAGTGACTTCGTTGAAAGTATTAGGCTCATACAACTCGTGTGACGTGCTTTGGAGCTCGGGATCGTACACGTAGCCGTCGCTACTCCACGGCGATTCGGTAACCGGCTTCTCAGTAGTCAGCGGCTTGGGCGGGCGGGCACGGGTTCGTTCCTTTCCCCGTCCTCTGTCGGAGGCGGGCATTTTCTTTCTCAGTTGGAATTCAGAAGAGTCGAGCAGCAGCGGCGCGGTAGGTGTGTCCTCCGCGTCGGCGATGCTCGGCTGTGTCGTAAGTTCCTCCAGGATTGGCCGTCGTTTGCGATGCTTTTGCTCTTCCTGGGATGGCTTGTTCCGGCTGACTGGTCGCCTCGTGCGTTCGCCTGCTGGCTGCTTCTGACTGTAGCTTGGTCGCCGAACACGCATTATGTCCAACGAGGTTGCTGGAATGCGGTTTACAGGTCGTCTGGTTCGTTGGTCCTGCACATCCTGTTCCTTCAGTATTTCCCCTTCCTCCGGCACGGAAGTGGCCGGCAGGCGAATTCCCTGCGACTGTTGGGAACGCACATTGCTCTGGAAGTCTGGGAAGGGGTACGGTTCTTTGGGCTGATCGATATTCTCTTCCTCGGTAAGAGGAGTGGGCAGTACTGGTTTGCGCCTACGCACCTCATTGATATGATGGGACGGAATTGTGGTTTCCTCGAGGAACACGGGTTTCCTTATGTACGTCTGGCTCGTTGGTGTGAACGAACCCTCCTCACTCTCAGCGCGGTTCTTGTTGATCTCCTGGAAGTAGGGTCGGGTGACACGCGACTTCTCTGCTGGTCGCAGGGACGGTTTCGGGACGTACTGCTCCCTCTGCTGTGGTGGCGCGGACGGCCACGTAGTTACGTACACCTGATCTTCGAACGATGTGAATGGTGTAGACCCAGAGAGGATATAGGAATGGTCAGACAAGTGAGGTCCTGTCGCCCCGTTCAGCCTGCTAGGGTGAAGTGGCACATCTTGCACCTGTCCGGGCTTCTGGAACGACGCAGAACCGCTCACCTGCATGCCGACCGACTGCGGCAGGAATTTGACGTCACTGTCCCCGAACGTAGTCGTTGTGTGCGAGAACGTCTTGTAGAATGGCTCGAAGTTTTCGACGTGTCCGATGGACGAGTACGCGGCCGGAAATTCCTCGATCTGCTGTGACGGGAGGAACGGCTTTGTCTTTGTTTGCTCCTGGAAGTAGTACGTCGGGTGCTCATAGCGGAAGTGCTGCTCGCTCTCGGCCTGCTGCATGGGGGGCGGCACAAGGTGTTCCGGTACGCTCTTCTTCCTGTCGCGCGTCTTCACGGTGGCGTGGCCAAACACGCTGAAGGAGCCTAGGATGCTGGGAGGTGCCACCGCATATGTCTCCACCTTGTTGGAGGAAGCGGCATTCTGCAGGCGCTTGTTCCTCTCCGCTATCTGCATGTGCGCCTGAAACTTACTGTACACTGGGTGGCGCATGGACTCAGCACGGCTGCTGGGCGGAATCGTTGACTTCTGGGAGGAAGTTGGCACCGGCCGCCAGCCGTTCGAGTTCACCGCCATAGGAGGCTGAAACAGATCATTACATTCGAAATGTTATGTTCCCAATCTAAGGCGCAGATGCCGGAGATCATTTTCACATTAGGCCCACAGCGTGTTGTCATTTCTCTCCAAATGCTCGTCTCTTGACGTAGCACTGCTGAGACAGACGCTTCACGCAATAATTTTCAGCCTGACGGAAATTGTTATGACTAATCCCGCATGTCAAACCAATGTTTCTGTAATGTAAAGCAGTCTCTGTGTTTAATTTAACATCGAGCAGTGAAGCTTATTGGAGGGTGAAGGTATAGTTCCTAATATTGTTAGTCTCGGCGCTAGATAATGGTAAGTGGTAACCTACACGAACAGGCCGATTTAACCCCTGCAAAATAGTCACCATTACCACTATCTTAATGCTATAATATCGTTGGTGAGTACGACAGTATAATTATTCATTTGATGCGATTTGGAGGAGCTGTTGACGCCTTTATTAAGGCACGGCCGCACAGTTTTCCTTGAGAGAGTGAGTATATTTAGGAAATAATAAGGATTGTCTGCCTCCGTGTCGTGTCAGCAGGACGAGGGATAACCTTGGTACCGTGGCGTGGGGTACTCTCCTCTTAGTAACCTTGCCCAGGAAGTGAAGGGTTGTACGTACCGGTGTGATGTCCGCGTCCGGCACCTTGGGCAGGTCGCCGTGCACCCGCGCGAGCAGCAGCCAGCAGCCTGTAACAGCACATTAGGATAAAGTGGTGACGGCGGTTTTCTGATGGGGTCACCTCCTACCAGAAGCAATATTCCCTAGTTTGACCATGTCAAGGCCTATCGCCACGACGAAAATCCCGTTAGCACAAGCCCATCTCCAAGGCATCGTTTACCGTTTCCAGCAGTGCGTTTCGTGCGCAGGAATTGTCTAGCCTAGTAAGGGACGATGTCTTGCGCTTGCTGAAGACTCCGCCCTTAGAGTTTTGGTTCGTTAAATTTTCACTCACCACAGACGGCGGTAAGCAGGATACCCGGGTTGCGGGTCATGGCCGTTCTCCTCGACGGCTGTTTGGGCTGAAACACACGTTCACATATCGCTTTAGTGGTTCTTAAGCCAGGTAAATCCAATCCACTTTTGATTAATATATAACTTTCACAAAGAAAATAAAGTTGGTAATAATATTTAATATCTGATTGGCAATACTTTATTTTCACGTTGTCCAGTTCAAACGAATGATTATCAAGTGGGCAGTTAATACACACAGAAATCAATAGTGGAAATATAATAATGGCAATCAGGCGTTTTCTTCTTGGAAGTACTTTTTTTAAAATGAAGTTATATCTACTGAAACCCCACACCCAGTACAAAGGGAGCGAGGAATTACTTGGCAAATAAAATTCAGAACTCGAATGGTTAAAACAGGCCCAAACCATCCCCCCTCAATTCATTCATAGTCATTTTCCATTCACCACTGAATCGCCGCTGCGCCCTTGAGTAGAGTAACCCGCCGCTCTTCGTAGTTTCCTGCTCGGCTGTCAACTGTGAAGTATCCGTGGAGGCCGACGTGTAAGTTCTCAAAACCAAAGCAGACGTAGAGAACTTTCCCCTCGAGCGGTTACACACTCTACATGTGATGGGTGTCACGGCCTACTGGCCTCGCACAACTGAGTAATACCACGATGACTTCCTGTATCTGGTTGCCGGGCTTCGTGTCAAAAGTAGCGTCCAGCGTGCCCACTACCGATCTGGTTCACTTGCGCTGTGAAAACGTTTGATTGACGAGCAGACGGACGGCGATCGTTGGGAGAAAGTGCAAAGACAAGCCGTGGGCAGAATTATGACGTTTATATAACGACACGCACACACACGCCGCCAGTCTCCAGTTTACGAATGTACGACGCACTCGGTTACTAAATCCCAAAATTGCTGCTGCTCTTTGTAAAGTTTGGTCAGGAACATAACCGATTTTTATGCTGTGACTCTATGTCCAAGGGGAAATAAAAGAGCCTTACTTTTGACGGTTCCACGGACTCAAAGGGCCGTGAAAGTCCAGGATTTGTTCTCAGAGTTTGTCTTGCAAATAACTGGTACATGGCGCGAAGTATGGTCCGCATTAAGATATACGGATTGTAATTCAATAATTTTCGTTGTGGCATACATCTGTTTTTTTTTAATTATATAGACTCATGCCGCAGTGCCAAAATTATATAATAAAATACAAAAAGTGACAGAGTTTATCAAACCATTTACTGGGGCCTGGCGTGAAATGCAAGGTTGTCACAGCTTTGTGGTGTAAAGTGCTTGCACTTCTGCTATGAAACCATTGACGGTGTTCCCTGGGAGGGGCGTTTATGCTGTAGCACATCGTCTGAACCACTCCGTTTGTTTGTTTGTTTGTTTCAAAGTCATCTCCAGCTATTACACCGAAGAGCTTAGGCCTTAGGCTTTTTATTTCGAAGTTTGCAGTAAATTTATTAATTCCTCTAGACTTTTGTTGTTGAATTTTTGGTGTTTTTGCAAAAATACATGTTTATAGTCAGCATATTCAAATTACTGACACAGAGAGAGAAGTGTGAGGTGGAAATAACAGCGCAACAATTAAGCCGCGTTAAGATGTCTGTCAAATGAGAGCGACTCAGCCTCGTTGTATCAAGTGCTGAAGAACGGATTTCCACGGCAGCGAAGTGCTGCAGAACCAGTATCGGACGCGGATCAAGTGTCTGTGGTCTCTGTTATGCCACTGTCCCACTGTTTAATTTCACGAACTGCGAAAACTCCTGTTTGGGTACCAGAGGACAGGTCCGAAACAATGACTTCCTCGAACATGAACCACACAGTGGGCTCAACACTGTGTCAATGAAACTTGACTGATCTTGCACTGACAAACAATTTTGACTCCATCATTATATTTCAGTTTCATGAGGAAAAGTCTGAAGAAAGTAGCGAACTAAGTCTGGTGAACAGATGACTTCCAAAAGTGCCTACGGCATTGACCTTGATGTTTACTCAACAAGGCACACATGTGTTGCGAAGCGAACAACTAGCACAAATACGGGCCAGATTATGAAAATGGCTGTCTTTTGGGTTGTTGAGCCGTGAAGTCTTGTCGAAGCATGCCGATGTTTCAGAGCTGCTTGCAGCCTTCATCATCAGCAAATACCTCTGAAACGTCGATAAACTTCTACCAAACCACACGGTGCAACAACCCAGAAGACATTAATCTTCATACTCGCCGCTGTGAGAACCTGAAATCTCACTGAGACAAATCAGCCTTTTTGTATTTTGATAATATGCACCACATTGAAAGTTGTTTAAATACAAGGCGAAATAGGTTTTAAGCCATGCGGTTCTTCATGTTTGTTTCGAGAAAAAGTTCCGTTGTATCCTCATGGAGCGTTAACTAATACTCCTAAATAGCAGAATCCGAAGGTTCAGCTTCTCTAACACGAAGGCCCGCCATTGGACACGGGTCTCATTCCATCCACCACTCGTTCTCACTACCTTTCCAAAATCCATCTTAATGTTATCCTCACATTTTCTCGGTCGTCTTACAACCTACAACCTCAAGCGTAAGTCACAGTAGTCTACCAAGTTTCGGAGATTAAACACGTGGACAAAGAGACGGTTAATAACAATGCGTTCGTTGTCTGGAAAAAGTGTCAGCGAAACTGTTCTTCTGATTAGCCAAAAAGTCGTCCATATTCTGAAAGCTTTCGTATTCTTATCTCTCCCTTTTGCTCAGAACTCACTCCGGTGCTAGGATGTGTTGCGACGCTCAACGTCACAGTCCCCATGAAGTCTAGTGTTCGTGTCGTAGGCCTCACGTTTACTCACCGTTTGTAGTAGTGTGTCAGCCTCAGGCCGTCGTGCAGATGTGTGTTCCTTGCACAATGGCTTTGTCGCCAATGACCTGCCGCTGGCCGCTCGCGACGCGTCTTCTCCAACTGAAAAGTAGGTCCGGTCGAGTCCCCCTCTGCAAGGGGTAGGGGTTGTACTTTCCCTGTGAGGGGGGACTGAAGAAAAACTTGGGTTGCGTGTGGTCACGGTTCCGAGGAAAACGGACTGATTTGTTGCTTTTATTTAACAACGCTTTCTCAGCTGTGTGAGTTAATTTAGAACAAGTTCAAAGTGAAATTGGGCGATTCTGACTGGTATGCAATAACGTGGTAGTGGTCTATTTGCAGGTAGTTTCCCAGTTTAGGGAGGATATACTGAGGAAAGCAACGAACAGCAGTCTGCCTCCTGACCCAAAATCAAATTCGGGACCCCTCGACTACGTCGCTGTTTTTGGTACGAAACGAAGACAAGCTGGAAATGCTCTTTGCCTTTCCTTGATCCCTCAGTTCGAAAGCTTGGACAGAATCTCAAAATAAGCCACTGCCCCCTTATCCCAGTTCCTCTCCAATACTGAGTACGATTATCAAAGAGGCCCGAATTTGCATTCACAAACTGATCTCCAAGGGCTTGAACATAAAATATCAACGGGTTCCTCGTGAATTAATGGACAAAAGGCAACTTAAAAACGACGTCGGATTTAAAAAAAACAAACATACATTTTCATATGAAATGCAACAGATCGAGAACAGCTGACATATTTTCATGAAACTTGTTATTTGGCAGTTATACTATAATCTGCTGGCACATCTCGATTTTTATTGAAATGGGACAACTGTAATGAACATCTTACATGAAAACTTGCATGTGTTTCTGCGCGCATCTCGAGCGTAACTCGCTAAATATTTATCGGAGCGAAAAGTGTTTCGAATGAAAAGAATGAAACTCGCATTTTATGCCAAATAAGCATTCCGTTAGTCTTGCGATTTTCGAGCTAATTAAACAAAAGGAGTTTCATGCTGTGTCAAAACTTGGGGACAGTTGGACGCATTTTTATGAGACTTTGTATTGCCCGTCCTTGCTCATCCGTCGCGCTGGTTGTAAGAGAACAAGCAGTTCGCATTCACGAATTCAGAATTTAGAAGCAATAACAGAACGAAAGCGCCAGAATTGTTACGCCATGCGTACATTTCCTAACCTGATAAATATGTCCATGTGCTTGTGAATTAGCGTTGGATCATCTTGTCTCTGTGAAACAGGACAGAAAGCATCCCTCAGTATTGACGGATTCAGGTGTTCAAACCTTGACATTACTGGAGCATCTCGCACAACGATCTGGCCATGCTGGATGGATTGAGGCCATGGTAACTTTTCTTCGAATGGGCTCCGCGCCATGTCCGACACGATTATGGCACGACGGATTGCAGCAGGCAACTGTTACGGTGGACTTCGTTAAAGAAATGTATGACAGAGGGCAGAGCACATCCCGAAATATTCGGCACAAGCTATTACGTAGTTTCGCTGAAGCACGAATTGCGTATATTTTAGGGCGAAGATCTTCAACGCAGAAGAACAACAGCGACGAAATACAGCCTTCGGAGTTCTCGGGCGTGTGTAACGCGATTCCTTCCCGAAAATTTCTGACAGCAAAATTGCATTTGTCATACATACGGTTCGGTATTATATTGAACTTATTTACTGTATCGTCTGGCTAGATCAAAAGTTATCAAAATCGTTATAAGCCTTCTTTCTTTTCTTGTTTCCCTCTTACGTGCTTACATAGTGGCTTGAATTTGTACGTTTTAAAACGTAGGCCTATAACAACGCATTTTAAAGATGGTTTCTGTGCTGCATGATCTGAACCTTTCACAGCGAATAAGTATAATGAGTTCTTCTCGTGCTACCAGCCGCATGATGTGGTTTAATGGAGAAAACACCAACGTTTCAAGAACCATCGTCGTCCTCGTCCTCCGGGTACTGAGTACCCCAAAGATGAAGACGGTTCTCGAAACGGTCGATTCTCTATTAAGGGTATGTTATATACGGTTGTTGTTTTGCGATGGTTTGGGTTGTCCTGGAGAATTTCTATCGTGTTCATCGGGTGGTCGTTGGGATGTCCTGGAGAAGTGCTGGATAATCCTGGAGAATTCCAGGACAATTCCTGGAGAAATCCTGGAAGAGTCTTATAGTGGTGTCGGAGAAGTCCTGGAGACGTTATGAGCAAAATTTTTTGTCATGGAGAATTGCTGGAGAAGTCCTGGAAGGTTATTTGGAAGTCCTTAAGCGGTTGTGGGTTTGATCCTATGCGGGTCGGTTATTTTGGATTCGTTTAAGTTTGATTGGGATAAGTTACATTGGATTAGGTTGCGTTTTGGTTTAGGTTGGGTTAGGTTTGGTTTGGCCAGGTTAGGTTTGGTTAGATTAGGTTAGGTTAGGTTTAGTTAAGTCAGGTAGCACGAGAAGAACTCATGTTTTCTGTTTTCTTTTGAATACTAGCAGCTTTGATGTTTAGTCATTCTAGACAAGCCCATTATGGCAAAGCTAAGCACACTACTCATATCACAATGTATAGATCCGGAAATCATTGTTCCTTTCTATTTAATTCGATATTATTCATCATATAAAAATGTTTCAAGTCAAGATTGTAGATGTTAATAAAATATTATTTATATTTTGTCATGTGCAGGGCTGTGGAGTCTGAGACGGAAGCAATTTTCGGTGGAGTCGGTAAAAATGTACCGACTCCGACTTTGATATAAAATCTTAAGAACAATTTCTATACCGTATGAGACGCCGGCCGCCTCACGCTTAGGGCGGTATCGCACTAGGATGCCATGGCGTCCAGACGCCAGACAAGCTGCCAGCTTTCGACGCCAGTCGAGCGAACAGATGGATCAACATTATGAGATCACGAAATGAAGGGCTATTAGCAAGGAGAAATGTCCACTTTTATCACTTTTGAGGAAATGAGATTTACCTTTATCAAAACTACATACCTGGAGTGAATTTCAATTCTGTAACAAAGAAATAAGTAAAAAAAAAAATTCTCCATACACACTCTGCACGTCCATACCATTATTGAATTTGCTATATGTACCGTCTTTCAGGACTACGCTCTTGCATTTCAGGTGGATTTATGTCATTAAACTGATGAACATTCTTACATTTATTATTTGCACTCATGGGGACAATTAGGATTAAACTGAAAAAAAACTTTTGTATTCTAGATTCATATGATAAGCATCAGACTCCATTATCTATCAATGACAGTCATTGACCTGAAGAAGGGAGCAGAACCAGATGCTGAAACATTGTAACAGTATGTATTATTTGTGCCTCAGATAATGCACAGTGTAGATAATAAAAAATCCTCGTATCCTCGTTTTTCAGACAATCAACTTTTCATCGTTTTATTATGGTCATGAACATCCTGAGACGAAGATGGATTCTGATTCCGAAAAACAGAGTCAGATTGGAAAAGTAAGCATTCAAAGGGAAAAGTAAATTTGTCACTGTGTATTAATCTAATTACTTCTGTCCAGGTATTCTCATTCTGTTTTGCGCACGTCTAATTTATTAAACGAGTATTAAAAGCATAATTAGCGTGGTGAAATTTACGGGTCTGATGAATTAGGCCTTATATTTTTCTAAGGTTACTTACTAACTCTTTATAAACCGCATAGATTACATATAGTGGGTAATAAGTCTAAAAAGTAGGCTGTGTGGTGGTGAAATTTCTTATGGTGTCATTTACCATTTTAGTAGGTTTACGCTTATTAATACATATTGAGCTTTTATGAAGGAGTCGGAGATTTTAGTACCGACTCCACAGCCCTGATCATGTGATGTACCAGGTAAGCTTCGCTGTGAAACGAAGTAAAATTTAGACGGGACCCCAACTACAAATTTAAACGAAATCCGTGGAGCAATAAAAATGGAGGGAGACTTCAGCCCCTGGTGGACATCCTAATTATAAGTAGTTTGTTGAAGATTGGAGGCTGATCTGTTTGGTGATCTAGGCGCCCCAGAAAGCCGTACTAGGAGGGAAACAAAGCCATGTCCGTGATAATATGCATGCACTCACGCACGTACTTTCACGCCCGTATGAAGTCAAGTAGTCCACGCACAACGTTCGTGGTCTATTACACGAAATGCAACACAGACGTGTTGCACGCAAGGTCCATTCCTCCGTCGATCGTGCTGTAGGTCTGCTGCTTCCCAGTTCGAATCCCATCCGGGTTTAATTAGGTCTATCGCTCTTTTTCTCCGTTACTCCATGAGTACTCAGAGATTCGTATATGATTGAGATAGGTCAGGCGTTTCCCAGCTTACAGTTCATCTCTCTGGACACGAAACATGCTTGAGCTCTGATGCAGCCTTCAGTTACGAACAGGCATGGTAGAATAATCTCGTTTTTCGTGCTTATATTAGTTATTCCATTCTCTTCCGAACACACGCGACAATTACTTTCATTTAATTAATGAGATGTGGGGCTCAGATTGTGCGCAGGCGCACTGATCTGATAACTCCGGTTAACTGGAATGTGACTTGGCATCCGTGCCAAGAGAAGGGAGGGACTGAAGAAAACACAGGCTCGCTGGGGTTCGTACACGTCCTGTTGCATACCTTGACCTGAGAGACAACATCGAGGCTTCCACTGTGTTGTCCACTGCTAAATATACAGCAATACTCTTAATTATTTTGAGACTAGTATTTCTGTGTCCAAATGACTTCTAACCCAAGAAACGGTCTTCATAAAATTCGCTAACACGGAAAATCTCTCCGCGCCAAGGCACTGCAGTGTCATGGTTTCCAACTTTCTACCGATTGTGTGTGGATTGGAGCCAAGGATATTGATGTGGGAAAATAAAATAGCATATACCAGGTCCTCACCGTGGTTCGGAGCTCACTTTAAACTGTATGTCCCATCTGCCGACCATCATGTTCATGAATTACCCTGTCATTGATCGTAACACAGTCCGTCCTGTGGGTGCTCCCATCTCAGAAATGGATTGCAGACTTACCCGGAAGCACAGACAACCATCAAACACCGCGTCCTTCCGATCACGACTAGATAATTGTAACTTTCATATAGAGTAGAAGTCAAATAAGTTTCAGGGTGTCCTCTTACGTGCTTACGGATTCGATGCGGTCACGTGACAAACTGTGACACTCGCGAACAGTGGCATGCAACAACTTTCCAGTGAGGCTCACTATGGAACTTTCTGCATCGAGAAAGCATGTTGACCCGGCGTTAGCACTTCTGATGCATAGTCGGGAGGTCCCAGGTACAAATCTCGGCCGAGACCGGTGATTCTGACTCTTTTCGTAGTTGTCTTCAATATTCGAAGGGAAAAAATGTTACGTACGGCTCGGTTAATTTTGGCTACTTTGTAATACGTTAGATTAAGTTTCGACATGTTGGGTTAGGTTAGTTAACGTTTTGAAAATCTTCGTCACATCTCGTCACGCCGTTACATTACGCCAAGCTTTGTAAATCTTCCTCACGTTTCGACATTAATGGTGATCCCTTTTCAGGACGTCAAAGCACGTCACGCCTAGACACGCTTTGGCAAGCGCGGTCACTAAGTCCCGTTTCGGCACGCTTACGTTATGTTACGTAAGGCTCGGTTAATTTTTGCTAATTTGCAATACGTTAGTTGAAGTTACAACAGGATAGGTTAGGTTATGTTAAGTTAGTTTAGTTTAGGTTTACTTAGGTTAGGTTAGTTTGTTATATTAGATAACGTTTTGAAAATATTCGTCACGTTTTGGCACTTATGGCCACATCTTGTCACGCCGTTTCAGTACGTCACGCGTAGTCACGCTTTTAAAATCTTGGTGACGTTTTAACACTTAAGGTGTCCTCTCGTCACGCTTTCAAAGGAGGTCACTCCTAGTCACGCTTTGTCACTAATAAATTTAATATATATAATTGAAGATAATGGAGTGAACAGCAGCAGCGGTAGTGATGAATCGAGTGATGTCAGAAAGCGATGGTCTGTGAGAAGTGGAAGAATTGAAAGAGGACCGAAGAGTTGTGAAGAAGATAAAATTATCTAATACTCTCTGTAGTGTTAATTTTCTAGTGATGTGTAGTGTAGTGAAATCAACTTTCCTGTGGCACATACTCTGGTGATATTTTATTTGGAGTGTACTGTACACGGCCTGCTGCCAATCCTTCCAGCAAACTTCTGGTAAGTGACTCACTCCGAGGTTCCAATTCACAAAGTTCAGAGGCCAAAAACGCTGGAACTCAGTATATTATCACTTGTAAGTGCACGTCAACAAAATTGGCTCCAGTAGGTTCTGGAAATGTGGCACGCCATGCTGGCCACCTGTCAACACTTTCTCACACCTTCCTTTCTAATTCGTTAAGAGACACTGATAAGCTGATTTAATGCCTCTCTGTGAAACACCCAAAAGGAGAAACAAAGTCTATAAAGTTGGATGGAAAATATCAAGGATGAGGCTGCAAAAGTGAGAGTACTGAGAGTAACTCACACACACATGTCTACTCCAAATATAGGAAAGTTTTATTATAAATATTCACAAAAATACTAGTAAGATATGACCCTGGGCAAACTACTTGATGCATGAGCAGATGTTATGGGCAGGTTGTACAGTTTTGGTGAAGTCTTGGTCATGCCATGCTGCAAAAATCTGCTCAGGTTTCAGTTCTGGATAGCACTTCCAAAGTCATACAGTAGAGTCCATAGTCAATTATTAGTAGAACTGCTATCAGTTTCCTAGAACAGTGTTGTCACCCAAATGCCAAGTTGTTTGCCATTACAATACAAATGCAGAACAGATTGACTTCTACATGTATACAGAAACATACAGTTTGCCTCAAGCATGCAGGTTAGTCTTAGAAACACTGTAAAGCACTTTCAAAGTATTGTCCAAAGACTAGTAACAGTTTATAATGTTCCCCTTTTCCCTTGTGACAGACATGACTTTTGTAATTAAATAAAGATCACCAATATGTGACTTGAGGTTCTCACAGTGGTGAAGATGTCAGTGCTGATCTACAAGTCCACATAGCATTTACTGCCCAGATGACCAACATCAACATTAAAAAGTAAAGGACAACAAGAATAAATGTCTAAATTCTATAAAGTTCTGTCTTAGCATGCCTGTATGGCAATGGACATGGATGATGATGAAAAGCAACAAACAAAGATTACAAGCAGATGAAATGAGATTTTTAAGATCAATTACAGGAATGTTAGATGAAAAATGAAATGAGAATATTTGAAATGAATTTTATACACACACACACACACACACAATATTAATGACACACACAGATGGGGAAAAACAGGTATAAACATGTACTAAGAATAAAGATAGAATGCCAAAGATATTACAGTATAAGCCTAAAGGAAGAATGCCAACAGGAAGACCTACAAAAAGACGAATAAAACAAACAGGATATAAACCCAGTACCTGATGATGATTACTACTGTGAAAACAGCTTGTCATGTAAGAAAATGTGTACAATGTGAAATGTACATCTTATTAAAAGCTATAGTTTTTGTGCATCTCATTACATCCCTTCACTGGACATTGAAGTCTGCCTAAATAAGTACTTAGGCCCTCATGTAAAATATCTTTACATGTTCTCTAATTTGTAAATAAATTGCAGTATCACATTTCAAGAAAATTCATCCATCTGCAATGGCCCTATTACTTGTGTATGGCCAGAAAGACAGGGCAAAGCTAACAGAGTGTATACTCACAAGGACACTGACAGTTTCACACATGCCCTAAAAGCATGGTACTAATATAAACAGTTGTCACAAAAGATGAGGAGAACTGTAAGATATGCTTTATAGTTGATCTGCTACTCCTCATTTCTAGACGATTATCACAATGTGCTGCTACCAATCATGCTGCGGGAGTCTGTATGTCCAGTTGTTGCTTCTGATCACCTCTATGCCTGCACCATAATACGGGATAACATAGTGTGATCCATCAGCTGGTCCCACAACCTGTGTCGCGATCAGAATGATGTCCACCAACTGCCCCAAGAACATAAAGCCCAGTGTACAGAACTTGAGCAAACCAATTGCAGGGTAACCAAGGTAGAAGCGGTCTGCTCCGAACATACCGAAGAAGATGGAGAGCAGCATGGCTGTCTCAAACGAATAACCATTTCTGCCATGAAAGAATAACACTGTAAACTAAACTTTTTGAACAACATTACAATATGATGACCATGTGTACCTGAATCCCAAAGATGGGTTATATATTTAAAATACTGAACCTAACATCAACTGGTTAAGTTCATAATACATTTGTCTCACATCATTCCACTTTCCAGGATGATTCTGATCGCACAGTGATCCTTACATATTAGGTGTGGTTAAAAGATGTTAGCCTAGCTCAGGGGGAACCCAACTTGTGGCCCATACTTTCCCTGCACAGGCCATTCTAACCTACCTAACAGCTAATCTGACATGAGTTTATAATGTTACTAGTCCTAAAAGTGTAAGATATCCCGTGTATGTGGTCACCATATTGTAAATACCCAACTTTCTTCCATATATGTTTGGTAAATTACCATTATAATTTATTGCCAACAATATTCACAATACTTACGTCCATTTACAAGAAATTTCCCGTTTGAATGTGGAATTTTTTGTCTCTGTGCAGTTTATCCCGTCAGCCGCTCTGCATTGCACTAGAAAAAATAAGAAAAATAAATTTATAATAGGTTTTACACCAGGTGCAAATCATCATACTAACCTTCTGTTAATATTTCTCTACCTTTCGCTTTATTTTCCTTTGTACAACCGTAAGGTTGTTGGGTTTTGGGATCAATATACTCATAGGATGGGTCAGGATCTGGGCAAATATACTGGCCCATTCTTAGTGTGCTGCACTCCACATGGTAGTCGGCATTAATGTGACTAGAAGATATTGAAACTGTTAGAATTACTATGCCATACCACAAACTGTTCATTGCTTAAAACATCCATGCAACGCAATCAGCTGACAAGGTGATTTACATTGTCAGCAACATAATGCGCCTCTTACCGGAAAGCAGAAGGATACACAAGGAACAGAGTAACCAGTTTCCTTACTATCATTTATGTATCTACAATAAATACTTAATTATTTAACTTCCATCATAGTGACTGCACTTGATTTTTAAATACAATTTGAATATATTTTGAAAATCGGAAATACGCTAGTGTTTGGAGTATAGTTCTAACCTATTTCAACAGTTGGCCATTCGAGACGTCATAATCCGCGTTTTTAAAGGAAAGGGGATTTGAAAAGCAGGTTTTGTCTTTAAAAATTGCAATAAAATGTAATAATAGTATAGTATTATTTAAGAAATTTACATAAACTATAAAATTATTAATGCATATTAAGCAAACAAACAACTCATCAAATATAAGTTTAGCAGAATACGAGACGTACAGCGCCAGTGTAGCTCCCAGGAACGTGGGGAATTTGTGAAAGAGAAATAATGAAAATGGCGTTGACAGAGAATTGTATGTTTGTGTAGACGTTGTTATTATTTGTGGAATCATCAATCAGTGTGTGAAAATGTTTTTGTGAAACTGAATTCAACAACAGTTATAAGTGATGTGGCCTCAGATTGTACACTTACATGGTAAGTTGGGAGACAACTGTGCTCCTGCTTGTAGTACCACAATCATTCGTAACCTGTCAGACACTGTTTAACAATTGTATAATGTTTTGGGGGCATGTCTTAAAATGATTGTAGTTTTGTGTACATTTGTATCTCACTTTTAAGATTTTATAAGAGAAATGTGTTTATTTCTGTTTTGTTATGAACTTATGTTTTTTAAATTAAATCAAATTCTGTAACATTAAAAACATAGACCAATCTTTGATGTGCATGAGATGAAAAATGCATAAAAAGTTTTGGATACGATTGCTGAAGGGAAGAAGCACTCAGTTGACAGGTGTAGATGGGAGGATAATAGTAAAATGGACTTTACGTCTAAGGGTTGAAGGGTGTGGCATTATTCATCTGGCTCTGGATCAGTGAACATGGTACTAAACATTCATAGAAGGTAGGGTGCTATGTGACTGGCTAAGTGTACTGTTAGCATCTTATGGTTTCTACTCCATGGAGTTGGATTGTAGTTTGTGGATGTGAGCTCTGATTTTTTGCTCAAAGTAGCCTTCTACCACATCTTGAGCTGAAGGTCATTTTAAATGGTAATATCTTTGTAGTTACAGAACCAACTGTATTTGTGCCTGAAATTCAAGTAATTTTAGATTCTGTATCCAGTTGTAATGTAGTTTGGTGGTAGGGCAGGAGTACTAGAAATGGTCAGTGTTGAGATTTATTGTCATGTGTTGCAGGGGACCCTTGAAGCACCTTGCTAGCCATGCCTCTCAATGAAGACATATCTACAGCACTCCAATTGCTGGAACACATACAACACACCATAGATGTCAGTGATGATGCCAAGCTCCAATCTCAGACTAGTGATGACCTGAATTTGCTCATCTCTGTTCTAGAGAATCCTATCCTACGTGGCATCATATCTGTTCAGGTATGAAATATGCAGGCCTTATACATAGTTTTAAAACCTCATTGAATATAGGACTTCCTGACCTATAATTTCTCACAGTAGATATATGTTTCAAGTATCTGAAGGTCAAGTGTTCAAGAAAGCACTTGAACTGAATAAGAGGCAAACTGTAGGGCATGATGGTATTACATTGTTGATTAATATAACTCATTGGCTAACATACCAAAATTATGATGGACTGAACCTCTTGTATGGATAGATGAAGCTATGAAACATGTTAAATTTTGTTGGGACACTTCTGGATAGCTGAGAGTGGAGTGGATAGAGAGTATTAAAATAAATCGTTTGAAAATAGTTTCAGTTAATATTATTGGGTGTTATTTCCAGTGGTGGGTTTTGGTTTTTTTACAGCATTTAACCCTTGATTCTGTTACCAGGGAGTTAGTTGGACTTTAATGGCTTGTAATTTATAAACTTGTGATCATGTTCTGATGTGCCTGTGTAGGACTCATTGAGTGAGCTGAATCAGCAGTTGCAGCAGCACCCATCAATCTTGCCAGTTGACTTTGACATTACTCCATGTGGTGATCTGGTGCTGAATGTACCACCCTCAGTGGATCTTTATGACCCAGGATTTGAACAAGATTACCAGAATCATGAGTTTGATGATCAGAGAGTGCCTGTGGCTAAACTGTCTCATAGCTCATCTGGTGATACATCATCACCGCAGGTAAATTGTTACAGTATGTACTGATACATTCAGACTCATGGTTGGAAACTCCGAATATGGCTTTTCCTCTCGTTCATGTTATTGGTCAAGAATTCTCAGTGGGGTGCAGTATTGGGCAGTTTTGTTAAGTCACGGTTATAGCTGTCGTATGATATGGTATATAAGCAGGGAATAGTGTAGGCAATGTAAAACAAAACAAAATAAATAATTGCACTGAAATATTGATGTTGCAAAGCATGTTACATGTTTTTGCAGATTTTTGATTTTTTGTTGTTTGTTGAGTTTCCAGCCAGGTCTGAAACACTGTTGTGGCATGTGAAGTTACAGGCATGTCAGTGCAAGTGCAAGTGCGTGTGTGTGTGTGGTCTGCGTGCTTACTAACCTCAGAGCTTCGTGCTTTCTGGCATGACTAACAATACACCAGCATACCAGTAAATAACGCTTGTCCAAAAAGCAGAACTACACGTCAGATGAGGACTACAATGTGATAATAGAATTTCTTACAGAAATTATTCTGTTGATTTGTAGGTGAACATATAGAAAAGAATGCAAAATTTTAGATTTTCATGGTGATGAGAATATTGATGATCTCAGTTATTGTACTGTTTAGTATTTTGGTTGTGTCAGTGTTTTACTGGAACATACTGCAGGCTAAAATGGCCTTGATGATGGAGGCAGTAGGTTCTTCTGAAACATTGGCTCACAGCCAAAATACTGTATGGTGCAACAATCCAGAATATCATTGGCACAGCACAGGCTGCTTATTCCCTGTTATCATCATCGTACATTGATGTTTCCACAAGGATGGTTCACCCTGTTACGGAGTTGTGCCATTGGTCCTTAAGAATTTCTAATGTGTCTTCATCAA